GGGTAACTTTTCTTGGGCTTGTCATAGGTCCGACGTTCCTTCTGGAATTCGTATAGTCGATTGTCGATTCGGACCGTATGTTCGATTAGCGCTACCATGTCCGTTGGTTGTTGTTCCAAACGGGCAAGTTCCATACGTATATGGCTCTTCAGCCCACGTCGGTAGTGGCTGATGAGTGCGCTGGCGTCCCATCCTGTCTGATTGCCGTATCTCTGGAATTCTGTGGAGTATGTGAGGGCGCTGCCAGTCTGCTTAAGTGCAAACAGATGGTCTTCTGCGGTCTTAATCTCATCGATGTCTCCGAACATGCGTCGTATTTCCTTACAGAATCCATTCCAGCTGCCAAACATAGTCTGCGTAGTTGTCATGCTTCCATTGGTACTTTCATATTTGAAATAGTCCTTGAGGAATGGTTCGATCCATCGCAGGGCTTCCCCCCTAAGGTAGGACGCAGTCCACAGGGCATAGCTCTCCTGGGTGGGAAACTTCTCGTCATTGAAGTGCTGGTACAGTTCGACCTGTAGCAAAAACACCTCAAGTTCCTTTCGGTTGCCGGAGTAAGTGTCGGGCAACTTGACGCGTAGAGTTTCCTTGAGTTCATTGACGGTGGGTGCATCGGGCATTTCTTCATTCTCAGGCTTAGACCTCTGAGACGAAGTTGGCGTGGTGGGGGTTTTCCCCTTCGAACTGACGACAGACATGTTGCTTTGTGTGTAAGCCGGTACCTCGTAGAAGTGGTGCTCAAAGTGTAACGCTGACTTCTAAACGATAGAAGACACAGAGGTTCTCTTGCGTAAAGGTTTACTTATCAGAGGAGGCAGGGGATCAGACACAAAGGCTTCAAGTAACACGTTACTAGTATATAACAAATACTGTATTGAGTTGAGCACGAAGCTCCTATCTAAGGAAATACTATCTACTTATATAGTGGCGTCGTGCCTAGTGGACTCTTGGGAACTCACTCGAGTCCTCGGAGTCCTGGACTCTTAGGACTCTTCTCATCATCCTGCGAGTCCGTCACGTGATACTTTCGGAACTACTATTCCCCGCTGCCCCTCCAGGTACCAGGGCCGGTCTCATGCGACCTCCCTCCTTCCTGTCCTGTAGTTGGCCAGCCTTCTTGTTCCGTCGTAACATGATCCTTCCGAAGGAATTTCATGAATTTTTGGATGTTTTTTCAAAAATGGCAGCAGACAAGCTACCTCCCCATCGACCTTCAAACCATCATATTGAACTCGAAGGTGATGCAAAGCTGGGATATGCACCACTCTGGAATATGTCAAAGGAAGAACTTGATTTGGTCGAAGAATATGTCTTCGAGCACTTGCCAAAAGGGTTCATTGAAGCAAGCAAAGCCCCATACTCTTCACCCATTATGTTTGTAAGAAAGCCAGGTGGTGGTCTTCGATTCTGTGTTGACTACAGGAAGCTAAATGCCATAACGAAAAAGGATCGATATCCCATACCACTCATTGATGAAACACTGGCCCAAGTCATAGGAGCAAAATATCTCACCAAACTGGACATTCGACATGCCTTCAATCGAATTCGAATGCAGACAGAAGAAGATGAAGACCTCACTACATTCATAACTCGATTTGGATCATACAAATACAAGGTCATGCCCTTCGGACTCACAAATGGTCCAGCAACATTCCAGAGGTATATGAATGAAACCCTCATGGATTACCTCAACCAATTCGTCAGCGCATACATGGATGACATTCTTATCTACAGTGCTACTCGAGCAGAGCATACAGAGCACATAAGGAAAGTCCTACGGAGCTTCGAGAAGCTGGAAACGCGTTTTCGAGATTAGGATAATCACCCTGATAGTTTCGTTAGAGTCTAGCTTATTATCCTTTCGATTGTCACTGTCGAGATATGTATAAGAGGAGGAGGTTATTATAGAAACCTAGTCTTAGGTGAGGATTCTCCCACCTAGTTGTGCTACAAACCAAGCTATTGTCTCTGCAAGCGCGAATCATTCTAGCTATTGAGGCTCTTCAAACATGTAAATCGCTTAATCGCAGGTCTGCATCAATACTATATAAAGTGCCTTATTCTACGCTTACTGATAGAATGGCCGGCCGACCTTCTCGACGCGAAACCAAAGCCAATAGTCTTAAATTGACTGAGCTAGAAGAGGAAGTGATTATTCGAAATATATTGGATATGGATGCAAGAGGATTTGCGCCTCGGCCTGCTAGTGTGGAGGATATGGCAAATTATATCCTTGAATCGCGTGGGGGAAAGCACGTTGGGACGCAGTGGGCATATCGATTTATACAACGCCGCCCTGAGTTAAAGACGCGTTTTAATCGCGTTTATGACTTTCAAAGAGCCTTGTGCAAAGATCCTGAGCTTATTGGAGCGTGGTTTCAACTTGTGCAGAACATGAGAGCAAAGTACGGCATCCAAGACTGCGATTTCTACAACTTTGACGAGACGGGCTTCATGATGGGCGTTATTAGCTCAGCTTTAGTTGTTACGCGTGCCGATCGATGTGGCAGAGGCAAGGCAGTTTAGCCTGGCAATCGGGAATGGGCTACAGCAATTGTTTGTGTGAATGCTGAAGGCGGGAGTATCCCTCCGTTTTTAGTAGTTCAAGGGAAATGTCACCTTTCAAGTTGGTATACTGAAGGCAGCCTTCCTCACAATTGGGTAATTAAACCAACAAGCAATGGATGGACCAACAACGAGACAGGTCTAGAATGGCTTCATCACTTCGATAAACATACTTGCAGTCGTGCAAAAGGACCATATCGGATGTTGGTTTTAGACGGGCATGAAAGTCACGAATCAGCTGCGTTTCAGGAATATTGCAAAGCAAACAACATCATAACTCTCTGTCTACCTCCTCACTCGTCTCACCTAACTCAGCCACTTGATGTTGGGTGCTTTAGTGTTCTTAAACGCATGTATGGGCATCAAATTGAGACCTTTATTAAGGCTCATATAAACCATATTACAAAGGTTGAGTTTTTTATAGCTTTCCACGCAGCTTATAACCAGTCAATAACAACTCAAAACGCCAAAGCTGGATTTCGCGGAGCTGGTTTAGTGCCCTTTGATCCGCAAGTAATCATTTCAAAGCTAGACGTCAAGTTGCGGACTCCTACACCTACAGGACCCCCCTCTATAGACGCTGATCCTTGGGTTTCTCAAACGCCTCGCAACCCAATAGATGCTCTCTCACAGACTACTCTAGTTAAAAATCGCATTGCACGGCACCAAGGAAGCTCGCCAACCCCCATTTTTGCTACTGTTACTGCATTAGCTAAAGGGACAGAGATTTTGGCACATGAAATGACTTTATTGTCAGCTGAAGTCCGCACCCTTCGAGCAGCAAACGAAGCTCTTAGCAAACGCCGGAGGGCTAAAAAGTCTCGTGTCCGTCAAGGGTGTGCACTTTCTGTAGGGGATGCACATGATGATTTGTCCCAAAGGGCAGTTACGGAGCAAATAAATCGCGAGAAGCGCTCTGGAGGGGTTGGTAGGAATGAGGGGCAACCAGGTGTACGACATTGTGGCACTTGCGGGGGGGCTGGCCATAATGCACGAACTTGTCAGGAGGTCATAGAAGTACTTAGCTCATCAGATTCTGAATAGTTTTAGTTTTAATACATGTTGTGGTTGTTTAATTATACCTTACAGTGGTGGGTATAAAAAAGTTTCACGACTCGGTGACATTCACGACTCGGTGTACAACCACGTTAAGGGTTTTACTGTACCGGAATTATCACTTTTACCAATTGCTAGACTGGATTGCCTAATGGTCACCTAATTCTAGGAAATTAAGCAGTGCTAGTCTACTTTAGGCTTAGGCGATTACCCCAGACTAGCTCTAAGCTAGCGCCACACTAGTTCTACGCTATTACTAATCCTACTGCATACAATTATGTTACGCAATTTGAGCTGAAACCCTCTAATGTCAACGCGAACATCGTGTGAGGCCATGTTCTCTAGAAAATATTAAATCGGTGTTGGAGATCTACACAGCTTCGCCACTGGATTGTTGGAACTATGACTGGTGATAGATGCGCATGGCAGATTGTATTTGTTAGATCCCTAGCTGGTAATAGATACACATGGCATCCACAGCCATATAGTCATCGCGATGTGGATGTAGAGGTCTATGTTATCATAATTTCACGGTATATTCACAGCCCCCGAACCACCCACCAAAACCCGCTGTCACCGACATAAATTACGTTTATCAATTTCTCGACGAGAATGGAAGCCTCCTCCTCTCTCCCGCTCCACAAAGGCAAGGAAAAAGCAAGTATGGCGAATATCTCAAGGCTTGACGTAGTACCAAAAACGGATGTCGTCGGTCCGGTACTTGGAGTTGCTCTGCAGCTCGCTCTGGATCCAATAGACAACCGTCTTGTCGTCTGCAGTCATTCATCCGTGTTCTGATCAAAGGCTTGACCTCGGAGTCGCTGAATGGACTCTACATACCGTTGATATCCGAGGTGTGCGACCATTGAGGCCAGTGGCACCGCTTCTATGCTCGCGGAATCGGAGGAGTTAGAGCGACGGGAGCATCAGTTATAGAGAGGTGGGGGCGGCTGATTTGCAAGAATTGTTGTCTGGTGGGGCAGTAGCGGGGGAGGTAAGGCATGTTTATGCTGGTCGTGGGGTAAGTCTTGGATGTGGGGTTGGATTGGGAAGGGTTTTGAGGTTTGAGTGTAGGAGTGGTTTCCTCGGAAGTGTGAAAGGGCCTGGTGGAATCAAAAAAGAATTCTACGATAGTGACAATTGATGTGTAGATATTTCATTGAGCACACATATTGGTTTCTCATACTGTAACCCCGTTGGTACGAGGCGATTTTGGATTTTATGTGGTAAGCAACAACCTCGATATAGCAAACAAAAGCCCCTCAGACACGCTTAAATGGAAGGCCGCAGCAGCTCCACTTCCTCTAGCAAAAGATTCCGCATTCATATACATCCCAATATCTTCCCCCCCCCCCCCCCGCCTCTCACCCACCCACTTAAGAGTGCCTGTTGTATCCAATATCGTTATCATCCATATTCAACGGGTTCCTCGCCTCAGTGTTTAGCCCAACGTCTCCCGACCCTGGCGCAGGCGGCGGCGACTTCGTCAAAACATTGGAACCACGGCTGGCTGACACATCCCGGAACGGACTCCCACTCGGCGACGCGCGGCGCGAGTTGGGCCTGCCATAGCCTCTCGGGGCGCTGTAATCAGCAGAGGCGTCGCAACCATGCCCTGCCTGCGCGACCTGTGGCTGCATGAGCGGGAGGTGTGCCTCGCTGGCTGAGGCGCCGAGCTTGGAGCCGCTGGCGATGAGCATAGCCTCGCGTTGCTTCTCGGCGAGGCGGTTGCGGGAGCGGGTGCGGCAGCACATGAAGAGGACGGAGCCGAACATGGCGCAGAAGGCGGCGGAGAGGCAGCCGGAGACAATGATGCCGGCGAGGTCAGGGGCTTGGGACTTCATGCAGAGGGTGAGGCCCTTGGTGTCCTTGGAGCAGATGAGGCCGTCATTGCAGCCGATCGATTCGGTGGTAGTGGCCTGGCACTTTGTGGAGGTCGGCGAGCCGGCGTCGTTGGTTAAGGTCGCACACACGGTTGTGTCGATTATCTTGGTCTTGAGGCAGGTGAGGGAAGTGGTTGCTACCTGCGCCATGGCAGTGACCGCCGGGACGGTTGCGATGGTCACTGCACCCTCTTGAGCGCGACGTGGAGCAACGGTGGGAATGGCGGTTATTTGGGGTATGGCGGACGCGAGGGGAACGAGCAGGGCCGTGGCCACTGCCGCAAGTATAGAGGCTCCGCGCATTGGGATGTGTGAGGTTGTGGGTTATGAAGGTCGATGTGCATGAATCGAGGTAGCCTCGCGGACCCGTCGGCGCCGGGGGTGAGACCCTTTTGAGGAGGATACAGCTGTGTAAACGGCGAGGAAAGCTCCGAGACTGCTATAATGCCATATCGTCACGACAAGATAAATGGCAAAAAAGATGAGCGGCAGTTGGGGAGAAAGTATGGGAAAGAGCTGAAAAGGAGACGACGCTGACCAGGCTAAGGACGGAATGTAAGACTTGTGGTGGTGGCCAATCAGACGACAGTGGAGTCCTGCACGAAGGGTTTCGAGAGCGATGTCAGCGATGTGATGTCAGCTGGATGTTTCCTGTCAGTGTCAGTGTCAGTGTCAGTGTCACTGTCAAGATGAAATATGAAATATGAAATATGAAATATCAAGGTTTCAATAGCCGTGGATGATGAAAACACAAATTATCACTGCGTTTGTTCCCTTGCTTCATAACGTAATCGTGCTGCCCAAAAGTCTCCGTAGGGTCCGTGCATGGGAAGTGGGCCGTCACAAGTACTCGAGGGAAAAAAGTACATATCCTACTGTACTTGTGACGTACCTAGGTAGGTACGTCACAAGTACAGTAGGACCCCTGTTGTAATTGAAATATCTGTTGTAATATGTCACATGATCTCAGCACCACTTCCCCGCAATTTCAGGCAGCAATAGATAGACAGGAATACACACGCATATTACTCAACAGTTATGAGCCCGGAGCAACTCCAAGACGCATTTTGAAGCCTATAGAAACCCGAACGGACCAAAATCAAGTCCTGTGTCCTGGAGTCGAAAAAACCATCATTATGGCGACCCTACAGAAGGCGGGGGTGGTCCTCACAAGCCCTAGAGACTGGGACGAGTGGATAGAGACTATCAAAACTGCTTCAATAAAGGCAGGAGTATGGGGGTATATCGATCCATCAATCGAGGACCCTCCTACACTCCTACAGCCCGTTCGACCTATTCCTGAGTTCGTACGGAGTGCCACGCAAGCTGGTGGTGGTGTTACTGCTCAAACAAGACCTGGAGTGTCAACAAGAGCTTCAGGTAGCCAGACCATCCAACCTTCAGTAGAAGGCCAACAGCAATTAACGCCAATTACGTACGCATCTCTTACAGAAGATCAGAAGGAACAGCTTCGAAACCTACAAGCTGATTTCCAATATGAGCGCAAGGTGTGGGAAAAGCAGGAGGAAGCAATTCAGGGGCTTCGCTCTAAGATCCAAGAAACCATCAAACGCGACTTCCTACCCTATACCTACAATTGCGATACTCTGTACGATATGCTTAGAAAGCTACGAGACCGATTCGCACCTACTCAAAGAGCTAGAATCGGAGAATGGAGACTAGAATGGCAAAAGGCTGCGAAAATGCAAAGAGGCAAGGACCTTGAAGACTGGCTCCTAAACTGGGAGAATCTATACAGTCAAGGCCGTACGCTACAGGCAACAGAGGTTATCGACCCTCACGATGCTATCTATACCTTCCTTGATGCAATAGGACCTTGCGAATTCCGAGGACCATGGAAACACAAGCTAGAGAAGCAGACAAAGTCGTACGAATTTGAGGAGGTCCTACGACAGTATAGAACCAACCGTAGGCAAGAGAGATTCACCCAGAAACCTAGGGGGGAACATGGAGTTTTTGCACTACAAGAGGATGACAATAGCGACCTACAGCCAACGCTCCAAGGCCGTACGAACAACCTACAACAAGGTCAGCAAGGTCAGAGAGGCAGAAAACAGAAAAATCAGGCTCGACTAGACTGCCCTTGCGGAACAACTCACAAGTGGCGGGACTGCCTCTATGTGATGAAGTCAAAACGTACGAGGCAATGGCGCCCAAATAAAGAGATTGAAGCTAAAGTAGAGGCCTATATAAGTGACAACCAGGATTCCAGTACGTTATCCAAAAGGCAGAAGAACAGAACAATTTCAACAACCCGAATGGAGTACAATCCCGTACGAATACAGATCCACCTATGTCTTTCACTACAGTCTTCCAAGTCTCCCAAGGACTAAAGCCGAAAACCTCAGCCTATGAGCTCTCTAAAAGCATAATTCTCCACTCTGGAGCTACAATTCACGTCTGCAACGACCGTACGAGGTTCTACAATATCCAAGAATGTCAAGATAATAGCTACCTCTTAGCTGGAGACCAAAGGGTGAAGATTGAAGCGTTTGGGTCTGTAGATATTACAGTCCAAAACGGGAAGATAAGAAGTCTCTACGGACTATCACCCTTACAGATACGGCTCTCGTTTCATCCTTCCACACTTCAGTCGCTTCTCTTAGATGATTTATCCAAAAGGGAGTTCATTGGAATACCGCCGCACAAGGACTTACGTACGGAGATCAACTGTTCTGCAACACTCCAATGCTTCATGGACAATGGGTTCTTGAATACATCAAAAATGAGCCTACCCGAGCTGTTTATAGCACTCAGGATCAACAGGACAACGTTGTCCTATCTTCGTACGGACCTCGTAAGGACCTAAAAGGCACTGCAAAGGAATGGCATAACCGCATGGGACACCTAAACCAAAACGCCATTAGAAAACTCCAAGAGAAGACCGCTGGAGTTATCGTCACAGACCTAGACTCGTACGATACTCAGTGCGAAGTATGCCGACTTACGCATGCTACAAGGCAGATTTCTAGAAGATCTACACCACGCTCAAAAGTGCCATATGAGAAGGTCCACCTTGACCTAATCCAAATGCCAGAGGCGTAAGATGGCAGCACACAAGCCTTACACTTCCTATGTGATAATTGCCGCATGAACCACGTCTATACTATTAAGGATAAAACACAAGGAACGCTCCTACAGACGATTAAGGACTTTGTGAGCTACGTACGGAAGATGGGGGTTCCAAATCCGCATATTCCACCTAGATGGTGAAGCCTCACTTGAAAATGAATGGGAGGGTTGGATTAAGGATGAAGGATATGAAATCCACATCTCTCTGTTACGATATCAAGTGCGCCTTGCAGCTCGAGTGGGGGTTCAGGGGTGTGGGGAGCTTTCCGGGGTTGGAGCGAATTTTTCAGTTGTGGAGTGAATTCTCAGAACTGGTCTCGCTAAAGAGAATTCACTCCACAATAGCTGTATATAGATCGAGCCACTGCTCGAGTGCTCCTCTTCTCTTTCCTTTCTTCTCTAGATTGAGTTTAATTCATAATACCCAACTGGCGCCCTATGCCTTGGTGAACCGTGACATAAAACTCAATCTCTCTTATACCTCTTTTCCTGCTCTTTGAGCTGAACCCTCTTCTGAAATCGAAATCGAAATCCACTCTTTGAAAACCCCAGAACCAGAAACCTTATCCTGAAGTCGATTCCAGGACGATCTCCAGGCAACCCCTCAAAGTTGGCTTTCGACAGTCAGCTCGACACACACACACCACCTTCGCAAGTCAGACCTTTTACAACGCTCCCTCGACAAGGATGTAACTGTGAGGGAAGTGCGCTCCTCTCGAGTGGCTCCTACGGCCAACAACTGCACAATAGGGCCTTTGGCAATATGTGTCTGACTTGACGATATAAACCGAAATTGAAATAGCAACTCGCTATGGCTTATACAGCTGAAGAAAAAGCTGCAATGGCAGCTCGAAATGATCCAGAACAAGACCAGGAATCCCTGGCAGAAGGAGCATCAATTCCAAGCTCTGCAAACCTGTAATGGTGGGTGCACCAGATATGAGAATCTAGCCACCCAAGGAAGGGATGAATTTACTAAGACAACACACTGTCTTAGGAAACAGAGCCAAAGGGTCGTAGCTTAGACTATTCCACAACGCAACAATCAGGTGTATGATGTGGTGAAGTGGTTTAGACAAGTTGCAACAAATGTTGAGTCTGAGAACTCAGGGGTAAGTCAGAGGTTAGCACCTCACTGACTTTTCAAAAACAGAGAATAACAAGATCAATGCTTGGAAGCTTGGAAAAGATGTAGAAGTATGTGCTAGTCGATTTAATGTATTGCCTGCTTGCCCTTTCTTAAGGAAAGGGCAATCCTATTTATGCCAAAGGAGTGTAGTTCTCTCATTTTCCATGACTTTCCATGACTAACCAGGCTTGGTAAATGTATTAGAAATCAAGTGCGACCCACAACTAGCTTGCTAATCATGTAGTGAACGTAAGAGAATCCCATAGAACCATCTCTTGGGTTCCTAGCCTATAGGAAGTGAAAAGGAGGTCCAAGGTCAGAGTACCTATAGACAAATTATGTCATAACTTAACCAATCTTGTGGGTAACTAAGGAGCGATGACGTGTAATGAATCATAGAGGGTTGTAGAAGCTTCTAGAGCTATCGTTCATGTTCCTAGGCCTCTAGTTGGTAGAGATATGCCATGTGGTAGTATTGGCCCACCCCCTTAAGGAGGAGATTTTCTTAATAACTTGTTCAATGAATGTCCAAATGATATGCCATGATGTATGTAGCATAAACAGATGTAGTAGAAGAGTTTGCAGCAATCGTTGAGTAGTATTGCTTCTGTTGTTGGTGTGATAAGCCAAGATATGTATGGTGACTTGTAGGTTTGAGGAGGAGATTTCTAAGTTTGCTCTTGAGTTTGATAGCAAACTGAGTGCAACGAATGTCAGTATGACAAAACTAAACCAATGAACTTCATGATCCTAATTTCAAATCCAAAACCTTCCTTCACACTCTGGGCAAAACAGCTCAAGAGAGACATGAATCTATACTTGCAAATCGACATGAAAAGGCTGAATGGAATGTTGAAACCTTTGACGAATTCCAGAAACTATCTGTCGCCAACCAGAAAATTGTTACGGCTATAGTAACATGATGTCATGGTTACAGGGCCAGGGCCTAGTAACGTGACGTGTGAGTCACATAACGTGACGTGTGAGTCACAGTGGGAAGCGGGGTAGGCTGCCATGTGACGGGGCTAATGGATAGTTGCAGAAACTAGTGGATATTGGATAGTTGAGCTATCCACGAACT